CTAAGACGAGAATGAACGGGCATGTAAAATTCGAAAAATCTTTAACAGTTGTCACAAAAACAAAGATAAAAACAAGACAAAAGTCTCCATGCCGCTCCAAAGTAGCAACTGCTGCTGGCAAAGCTTGGGGCCTCTTTTTAGTATTGCTTAACAATTAAGCTGCAGAGGTTATGGCCCCAGCCTTAGGGCTCGGCCGTTCCTCAGTTGTGCTGAGCTCCTGTTTAAGCTCCCCAGGATGTATGGCACCTGGATTGGTTGTAATTCTCAGCTCCTTGTCCCAACTGTGTGGCTTGGAACTTTTCAGTTTGACTAGTGCTTCAACGCCTGATGAGAATAACCTACTGACTGTGCGAACACTTCTTTCATCTTCTGAATGGCCGGCTGGCTTTTTCGCAATGAACAGTTGGCAGTGCTCTCGTCGTTTCAGCATTTTTTTTGGCCGTTTTTTTCTTGAGCTAAATATTTATAGGGAAAACAAGTATTGTAAAGTAAAATGCTCGAATGATCAAGGATTTGCACAGCTCACTTCTGCTATTTAACACGCATTTTCTTCTAATGTGCGTGTGTCCTCTTCCCGCTATGTTACCTTTGTTGTTGTTTTTTTTCTTCTTTTGCTAAACATATTTAATGCAACAGTTGCATTTTGCAGTTATCAGGCGAAAATAAAGTGAAAATTTAAGACGCTTTGCGAAGTTGTGAACTTTTGACATGGCATAACGCGGCTGAGAGGTAAACAATAACTGCTTAATCGTTTCAAAAAATAACAGTATAAGCACATAGGAATCACGGTACTTTTCCCTGAATTAACAGAACATCTCTGCACAGCACAACTTGCATACTAAAAATATCTTGTATACGATGGCCGAAACACATTGAGGAAAGCCGAGCCGTTGAATTAGTTCGAAGAAATAGGAAAACCAAAGCTCTCAAGCTGAGGAAAAGACCCCTTCATAAAAAAGACATTTTGGGAAGGGAGAGAACTCCCAGCTAAATTTCGTGATATTTCGATCGGAAATTGCAAAGTTAAGAGCCAGTACTAGCACGCCCTCGTTGAATTTCACATTTGTTTCGCCCAGCTTTTTTTCCACTTCATTCCCAGATAAGCGATTTTGCTTACTTCCAGCTCTTTGTTCCGGTCCCCATCTTTTGGTCCATGTCACTGCTCGCTGCGCTGATCAACCTGCCGCATCGTAATATTTACACGATTACAGTTTGCATATTTCACAATACTTTCGGG